CTCTCTCTGCACCGCACGCCTGGCACCCACCCCCTCCACAGTGGGCGGCGACCCAGCGGCTCGGATCGGATTCGCACAGCCAGCACTGCAGTGAGAGAGAGTGAGTGAGCCAGGTAGGGGCAGAGAGCTGCGAGTGCGAGCGCGCCCCCCCAGATGTTGCGCCCGGTGCGGCTGCCCCCCTGCACCCCCCATGCTACGCCACTGCAGAGAGCTGTTTCATATCCTCGGACCTTTTGTACTCAGAGTTATACTTCTTATGGCAGGGATGGGGCACTCTGCATGTCATTTGGATATAGCGTGTTCTCCTTCATGGAGAGCACGAGTTGCGGTGGGGGCCGCCAGGACACTCCAAATTTGGGGGCGGACTAATTGATAGTTGGCCACTGATGTGATTGGGCTTCCCTTGTTGGGAAGAAGTTAATGTTGCCAGTTGTTGATTGACAGCCAGAAATGCTAAAACTCCTTGCACGAGGCTAGGGCTTCCTCTTTTTGCCCATGCATCGGATTGCCCATCCCCCCCTCCCTAGAATTAGGGTTGTTTGCTTGACCTTGTTATGCCTGTCATGGGGTCGTCTGCTCTTGGGGCATGGCCTCGGTAGGAATTTTGTCCATCTGGCTGATTGGCTGGGGCCATTTGGTTTTTGCCTACTGCGTAGCAAATCGTCACAACTTGTTGCGGTTAGGCATTGGTTTATGGTTTGGTTGGTTGAGGGGGCATGGATTGGCTGTGCCTGCCCCTCTAATGCTGCTGCTGCAAGGGATTCTGTTAAAGGAATTGGGGGCTAACTATTGCTTGTCCACCCTGTCAAGGGGGCTCGGGCCATAGCAATGAGCTCCTGGTTGCATTTGGGAAGGGCTGAGGGCAGCTTCCCTGCTCCGTCGCTACCCCCAAGTGTATTCCCCTTTTCTGACTTTCGCATCGTACAGAATATCAGTCTGTCCCCCATGGTGGGGGCAGATAGTCACAACTAATGCCTAAGCAACCACTCACATTTTTTATTTTAATAAAGTTGTGGCCAAAATTATGCCAAAAACCTTAAACAAAAATTCTATGTGATGTGTGAGTTATTGGGATGGCCCTGGGGACCTCGACACGCAACTCCAACTCCCAGCAGCCCCAGCTAGAATGACCAATATTAAGGAATGATTGATGCTGTAACCAACACCTGGAGACACAGGTTCCCCACCCTTGGTCTATGAATTTGGAGGTTGCATTTATTTGGCATGGCTAAGAGCCACCACTTGGCCTCTCCTCCATGAGTTTGCCTACTCTTTTAAAAGCAATGTAAACAGAACAGATGTAACAGAAATCTGGAAGACCTTTGTATTGTGTGGAGCTAGAGAGACCTTCTTTTTGGGGACCTTTCCATTAGCCAGCCACATCTCTTATGTGTTCAGGCACCTGTTGGTAAGGTGTCTGATTTCTTCTCTATTGAGAGTCAGTGTGGTGTAGTGGTTAAGAGCGGTAGACTCGTAATCTGGGGAACCGGGTTCACGACTCCGCTCCTCCACATGCAGCTGCTGGGTGACCTTGGGCTAGTTACACTTCTTTGAAGTCTCTCTCAGCCCCACTCACCTCACAGAGTGTTTGTTGTGGGGGAGGAAGGGAAAGGAGAATGTTAGCCGCTTTGAGACTCCTTCAGGTAGTGATAAAGCGGGATATCAAATCCAAACTCTTCTTCTTCTTCTATTGCTTAATCAAAGTCAGTACTTTCTGTTTTCAATCATGAACCTACTGCCAATCATTTTCCCAGAATCACTACAAGTTCTACTTAACAGTGTAAAGTAAGGCCTAAAACTTCTGAAATAGCCTGTGCTGGTTTGTGACACAAGCGCTCCAACCCACCCAGAGATAACCAAATGAAATTTGGTATAGAAATTAAGAAGGTAAATCAACATTCAAAGCCAAAGTAAGGAACCTGTGGCCCTCTAGATATTGCTAGATTCCAACTCCTGTGTGTCTGAGCCCCAATGTGTATTGTGTAGGGATGATGGGAGTTGTAGTCCAACAACGTGTGGTGGGGTCACACCACCTCAACTCCTGTATCCATTGTCAAAGTGAGGAGAAGAAATGTAAAATGCATTGCAATGCAATTATCTTTAATGAAACTTCTTTGATCATTGAGATTTACTAGCGGCACAAGAGAGAGAAAATCATTTACTTTGTTTATAGACCTCATGATTTTATAGATTTTAAGTGTCATATACTCACTTAAGACTTTTTTTCTCAAACATTTGCAGTTACTTTAGCAAAGAAAATATGCTCCAATCCCTTGATCACTCCAGGTGCCTTACAAATAAGCGGATGCAATTCTGTAAATTTATTGAGATTGCCACATCAGAAAAAATGAAGATTGAAGGTGGGAAGAGTGCCATTAAAGCAGATTAGAAAAACAACAATAAAAATCTGCTCGTGAACTTAACAAGGTCTGTAACAGCAAGATAAGCGGGAGGGAGATTTTATATCAGTTTCCCCAGATTTATTTTTTAAAAGGATCTCTCAGGTGAGCACTAGATGAAATCTTTTATGGTTGAAAAGAAAAAAATAATCTTGAAAATATTAATTTGTCTCGACCAATGGCCTAGATATTATAAACAGCCAGGCTTAAACAAAGTGAAACCTTCTCAATATGGAAAGTTGGCCTACAAAGGCACACAATATCTATAGCATACATGATGAGAATTCGTTGGAACAGATATTTGTCCTGAGCCCGTTTCATGTAACAGATGAAATGCTGGATTAGGACCTGGGAGCCTAGAACTCAAAGCCACACAGAGATTGACCTCTGTGTGTACTCAGCTGTCTAGGTGCCAATTGGTTCATTCTCCCAAATTCATAATTTCTATAACTATATTTGGACTGAACAACCCTTCAAACAGAAGACTCCTTCAGTTAGAGGACTGGCCTCTCTAAAGGAGGATATATGGCCCTGCTAAAAATGACCAAGAGACTGGTTTCTTTAAAAGAGACCTTGTCATTTGTTAATAAATGTGTACTACATGCCATGCATTTCGAAGCACATCAAAGAGGCAATAAACAAACAAAATGGACCATCTCAATAAACTTTCCAGCTTCTGCAGGACAGAGATGGTTGAATATCTCAATTTCATTGTTTTCACAGTTTCTCATTTTTCCAATCTTAAATTCCATTCTTCACATGAAAATTGAGCAGAATTTTAGTGCAGATTTTTCATAACGTACACATTTGTTTGTAATTTCCCCTCACACACACATTTTTGCAAAGCAATTTCCCCTAATACAATGTATTTTGTGTGTTCCTTGCACTAATAGATGCACTTTTATCTGAACTTTACCCTAGCACACTTTCTTGTACACATTACTTGACTAGAGCACTGCATTGCAAAATTCGTCAAAATGCAAATTTCTAAGGATTGCTGTATTTTGGTTCTCGGATTGTTTCAAAAAGGGCAAATTAGGTAGATTTGCCTTTAAATGTGAACAGATTTGAATTTCTCCCCATCTGGGTTAACCTGTGATTTCTTATACCTCTCTCATACAGCCTAAGTGCCGGTTAGACCATTTGTGAGAAAAGTGTGTACTCTGGATGCTAGAACTTAAACTTTGCTGATGTGTGAACTGTGTGGTTTATGACCACGGGCCTCTTTATGCTGCCACAGCAATTTCTGAGGCATCATCTTGTCCCAATAATCCTTAACACAATTACATTGTGTAGCTGCCCCCACCCTCAAGCTCTACTCTTAGAATAAAATGTTATTATAAACCTTAATGATTTATTGCAATCTTTGATTATGAGGATTTTGAACAAAATTAAGTGGTGGTCTGGCACCGAAAGGGCATTCTTTTAGAACTATATGATCTAGGATAGCAGATTGAAAAAAGAAGTTGGCACCCAAAGCAGAGGTAATATATATAAAATCAATTGGGATAGTTCTCCCTTCTGACTCTATGCAATAAGCAATAAATATTGCACACATTTTTGGCAAAAGTAAAATGTGTGTATTGCAGAAGAGTAATAAAAATAAAATAAAATAAAATAATTAGCATGCAATGCTTTCATTTGAACAAACTTCTTATTGCATCTTCACAGCACAGAGGCCAAGAAAAATGGGTTGCAATTACTCATTTCATATTGGCAAAGTTTGTTGTTCTAAGGTGCTCCTGGTGATCCTGCTGTGTTTAGTATATTTTTAATCCCTACATTTTGAAAATTGTGGGGGTTTTGTTCTTTTTAAAAAGATTTTTTTATTGTGAACCAAGGTATATATAAATAAATGAAGCTGGTGGAAGGCGGGCATTTGTGTACTTCAAGAAAAAATGTCTTATATTGATCCCAGGAACTGGAGGGTGTGAGATCGAATAGCACAGCCTGTGTATGTGTCAGGCTTCGGGGAAATGGCTTCCTCCCTCCCTTTTGCTGTGGATAAGCAAAACAAAGTGAAAATAGTCCCTTACCAGTTAAAGAGATTTTTAATGTTCACAGAAAAAGAACAAAGACTCCATCTTGGAGGAAAGGTGCTCCCTATTAAGGTTTCCTCCCACTTCCCCCCGAGTCACCCCCGTCAATTCCTCGTTTGGCAACCTAATCTCGCAACCATTTGGCCTTCTGTGTAGCTACCTTAGCTGCTCTCCTTGACCTTGGACGAGCGCTGGGACACTTTCCAGTGAAAGGGAGTCTGTTCATTCTCTCTCTCCCTATTCTTCTTCTCCTAGCTGTTCCCCACTCAGTTCTGCCCAGCTGTTGTCTTCCGAACTCTGTCCCTCTGCAAACCACAGCTCCAAATGTATACTGCTCCACTGCTCCTGGGCAGCTTCAGGATCCTGGTCAGGAGCAGAGGGAGGGGGAGGCCCCCAAAATTCCTCATTGGAGTAGCTCTCCTCAGCCTGGTCTCTGACATCATGGTGTATAATTGGGAAAACGTTTGGATCCAAGTGGCTGTGAGGGGGGAACAACTTGGATTCTTCTGCAGCAGGGGGTGGGGAATCTTTTTTCAGACAGAAGACTGCTGTGATGGCCAAGATGGCGGTGCTGGGCTCATCCCTCCATACCTGTTATGCAAGCTCCCACTGTGTGCAAGGCAACCTCTACTACCAGGAGATGAAAGCTTACCAAAATTTGAAGAAAGGCTTCTGTGTCCACCAGGTAACCAGTGAAAAAATGATGCAGGGCCCAGCATGACCTACAGTACATTTCCAGGCTGCCACCTATCTCTGTCTTCTGTGTCATGTCCAAGAACACTTAGCATTGCATAAGGAATACCATGGCAAAGGAGAGCAGTTGGTAGCGGAAGCAGCTGGTGTCGTAGGCCTTAAACTGCCACAACAGCCAGGAGGGAAAGGATGGGAGATGTAATTATAACAGGCATTGTTCTTTTTTAATGAGAATGTTATAATGAGTTTAGTTTCTGAAGACACGTTTGTTTAAATAAAAATACTTTTAAAAGGTGATAAATCAAGGGGACATATGCAGCCATAGATCACTGGTAGAGCATCTGGTTTACAGACTGAAAGTCCCAGGTTCAGCATCTCCAGGTAAGATTGGGATATCCCCTGTCCCAATGGACCTGTAGACAGCCACTGCTGGCAAGTGCAGCTCTGCTAGATGGGCCAATGTATATTGCACCAATGGATGTCTTTTTACACAGCTGCTTCCTAGCCCTTCTCAGTCGAGGGGTCACACTCCCTTCTGGGTAACCTTTTAGGAGCGGGACCAGAGGCAACAGTGGATGAAGCAAAAAATGTGAATTGTACCTTTCTACAATAGGGACGCAGGTGGCACTGTGGGTTAAACCACAGAGCCTAGGGCTTGTTGATCAGAAGGTCGGATGTTCAACTCCCTGCAATGGGGCGAGCTCCCATTGATCGGTCCCTGCTCCTGCCAACCTAGCCGTTCGAAAGCACAAAGTGCAAGTAGATAAATAGGTACCACTCCGGCGGGAAGGTCAACGGTGCTTCCGTGCACTGCTCTGGTTCGACAGAAGTGGTTTAGTCATGCTGGCCACATGACCTGGAAGCTGTACGCCGGCTCCTTCGGCCATTAAAGCAAGATGAGTGCCGCAACCCCAGAGTCGTCCACAACTGGACCTAACAGTCAGTGGTTCCTTTACCTTTACAGTAGGCCAGCCTCTACATAGAGCCAAAAGTGCTGGCTTTGACCCATAAAGCCTTAAGCGGCTCAGGACCGCAGTACCTCAAGGACCGCCTCTTTCCATATGAACCTCCCCAGACTCTGAGATCATCTTCTGAGGCCCTCCTTCGTGTGCCTCCTCCTCAAGAGGTCCAGAGGGTGGCAATATGAGAACAGGACCTTCTCTGCAGTGGCTCACCATCTGTGGAATGCTTCCCCCAGGGAAGTTCACCTGGTGCCTTCATTATACACCTTTAGGCACCAGGCAAAAACATTCCTCTTTAACCAGGCCTTTGGCTGACTTGATTGACACCCTATATCCTTGTAACATGTGGCTCCTTTGGGGGGGGATGCTATTGGGTTATTGTTTTGATTTTGATTTTATATATTGTGATCTTTTCTGTGAACCGCCCTGAGACCTCCAGGTATAGGGCTGTATATAAATTCAATAAATTCAATAAAAAATAAATAGGTGCACATGCACCCCTTTCTAGCCTACATCCAAGGAAGCAGGAGCTGGCAAAGGGCATGGCAACAGAGAGGGTATGACCTCCAAACAGTCCTGGATGACTCCCCCTGGCCATGGGTCTGAGACTCCCCAGCCCTATCCAAATAGGTAAAGAGAGCTTTGCATTGTACTCTGTGCATTTTGCCTTCTTTGTAAAAGTTTTCTTCAAGAGCTATTTCGGGGCTTTGAGATGGGATAGAATATATAAATGCTGGCGTATGATGAATGACAAGACTCAATAATCAATGATAAAAGACCAAGGGGGAACCAAAAGGAAGCTTTTGTTTTAAGAGCTGGTTATGTGAGCTGTTTGGAAACAACCCAGATCACTTCTCACATCATTTTATTGCAAGCCTGCGGACTTTTTTGTCCTCTATTACATGCCCAAAATATATAGATCTTCTCATCGCTTTGTTTCTTCTCCATTGGTCTTCCATCAGAGGCAGCCAGGCAAGGAGAGCTGGCAAAATAACCAGTGAAGCTGAAAGTCTAATCTTGTTTAGGGTTTTACAAAATTATAGACGAGACGGTTTTCCTTAAGGTCCTTGCAGAAATGTAACAATCGTGGCTGATTAGAATGAAAAGGTATAGCTCTAGTACAGTATCATCAATAAATTGCTCCCTTGCTTTGGTGGAGAAACTCTCTGAATTGGTGTCTTTCCTACCAAAGTGATTTATAACCATCCTATATTATATGGAGGGTGAACAGTAATATTGGCCAGATGAAAGTAAAAGGAGCTACAAGTTCAAATGTGGCCAAACCTCCTGAAGTATTCAGTAGAATATTGAAACATCTGTAAGGGTTAGAACTAAGAAAAGACTGGCATTAGATGCCAACACTCGTTTGCTTCTTATCTCACCTGCAGTATATACCTGGTTCTACCTGATAATGTGGCATAGAGGGCACAGCACAACCCTATGGTCACTGGCTCCATTTCTGATGGGTCACATAGCTCAATGGTAGAATACAGCATTTCATGCAGAGAGCCCCAAATTCAGGCCTCTGTATCAGGTTCCGAGGAAATTTAGGGAAAGGGCTACAAAAAGCTCTGTCAGAGATCACGGAGGGCAGCCTCTCCAAATGTCCCTGTTTTCCAGGGATGTCCCTGATTTAGAGAAGCTGTCCCGGTTTCTGATTGTATCCTGGAATATCCTGCTTTTCCTTAGGACATCCCTATTTTCACTGGAGAAATGTTGGAGAGTTTGGAATTATCCAACCCCTGAGCCATCTGAAGGCAATCCTGTATAGGGAAGTTTTTTGAATGTTTAATGTTTTATTAAGTTTTTTTTATATGTTGAAAGCTGCCCAGAGTGGCTAGGGCAACCCGGTAAGATGTGTGGGGTATAAATAGTAGAATTATCATTATGGAAGGGACATCCCTATTTTCATCAGAAAAATGTTGGAGGGTATGAGAGGGCATGTCACAATCTGGAGTAGATAGGGCTGGTTAAATTAATGAATCACAAGGGTCTTTTCAGTAGTGGCACCCTGGTTATGCAGCAATTTATCTGGAACCACCTTTGTGGTACATTCACCACAAAGTTTTTCATCAGGTGAAAAATTTTCTCCTCACCCAGGCCTTATAAACAACTTAGTTTTTAAATCTATGCTTTAATCTTCATAGTTGTTGTGAGGATAAAATGGGGAATTGGAGAACCATGTGAACCATCTTGAGGTCCTTGGAGGAACGGTGGGATATGTATGTAATAAATAAATAAATTCGGGACCTTGGTTATGCTCACAAAGTCCCATCAGGTCGTCCCACTTAGTCAGGATCTAGACACATCAAAGAAGCATTTCAGTTAAATGCGTTGCAAACTTTCTATGAGAAATCGGGTTGCAGAAGCAGAACTCCACAGCGCCATCTGGTGTCACAGTGCTAGAATGCATAAACAACACATACAAAGCATTTTTTCTTTGCCAGTGTGGCTGAGTCCTTAATGTGGGAAAGCTGGAGAGGGAATATGCAAGGACATAGGAGACAGAATGGCGTGTTCATGCCAGCTCCTACTCTCCAGTTTAACCCCCCACTCATTCTTTTGAATGCACGAAGAGAGCTTTGGTTCATACATGTCAATGTACGAAACCTTTTCCTTGGTCCCTTGAGTAATGGATGTCAAAAGAAGTGATTGGTGCTGTATACCCAGTCACCCAAAAATCACATCTCTCTTTTCTCATCCCTCTCTCTTTCTTGCGTCAAGCAGATCTCTGAGCAGGTAGGGAGAAAAACAACGCAAAAACAACACAATACTACTGCTGAGACAACCACACGGCAAAACACACTCGTGCTGAATTCAAATTTTTGATGGTGAGATGCATAAAAGCATTATGTTGCAGTGAGATGTGTGCCATCCCTGCATAAAGTAGTAATACAGTGGTACCTCGGGTTAAGTACTTAATTTGTTCCGGAGGTCCGTTTTTAACATGAAACTGTTCTTAACCTGAAGCACCACTTTAGCTAATGGGGCCTCTCACTGCTGCTGCGCTGCTAGCACACGAATTCTGTTCTCATCCTGAAGCAAAGTTCTTAACCCGAGGTAATATTTCTGGGTTAGCAGAGTCTGTAACCTGAAGGGTATGTAACCCAGGGTACCACTGTATATCTAGTGGCTGCCACATCCTGAGTTTGTGTGAAATAATATATATATATATATGTATTCCACAAAAATGCTAAGCTGACCGAAATCAGCTGCGGTTCTTTGGCCTAACTGATCAGCATTCTAGGATATATGTGTGAAAAAGCCTCTGGAGTTGTGAGCGGGAGCCAGTTCCCGCGTCAGCAGGGGGGGGGGGGCGTATTTGGCTCCCTGCATCAGTTATTCCGGCTGCTGCGCTGCACCCTTCGGCCAGCCAATAAGGCTGGCTTTGGGGCGGGGTTTAGTCACATTTGAGTGGCTGCGACAGTGCCATGCCCTCATTATGCTTCCTGATTGAATCACCCTCCCTTTAGGTCATATCTATGCTTTTGACCTTGCTATGGACTTTGGTTGGTTGCCCTGGTTGCCCAGGGGGCTTGGTAGGAGTTTTTATCCATTTGGCAAATTGGCACCAGCCTCTTGGTTTTTTGCCTACCTTGTAGCAAATCGTCACAACTTTTCGGGTATTGGTGGCATTGAAATATGTGTGGTATGTTGGAGGGCAGGTTGTGGCCATCACCTCCCCTCCCCTTGTTGGGTATTCCGTTAAAGGAATCCGCCGGTTGTGGATCCTGTCTGATGCCCTCTAGTGGCTAGGGCCATGGCACGACCCCTGGTGATGTCTGGGGAAGCTTCCAGTTGTATTTGCATCAACAAGCGCCTCCCCCTGGTTGTTAACCTTCAAATGACTCCCCGCTATGCAGGGTGGAGTCATGTATAGATTGTTTGATCCAGTGCCTAAGCCAATACCATTCACATGCTGTAACCAATAAAGTTGTGGCCTTCTTTAGCCCATTAACCTAAAATACTTGTGTCCTTGTGTCTTAATTATCTCTAAGCGGATGGCGGGTCCTCGACTCACAACTCTCCTGCCTTAAGACAACCCCCAGTAGCAAATCAAATAGCAAACCCCATAACAGCATTCCCTAATGATAAAGCCTGCCAACAAAAATTCTAAAACTCTATGGAAAAACAGAACAAGGATTGTTTTAGGGAACTGTAGTTTTAACATGGCTGCCATGTGGAAGGCCTTAAATGCGCACATTACTGGCAAGAGCCTGAAAGCCTTGCACAGAGCACAGGTCAGCCAGCAGAAAGCAGAAAGTGAACCATCGTATTTCCTACCCATTAGAGTCAAAGTGAGGGAATGATTGATTTTTGATAGAGGGAAATTCTGTTTGGAGGCAAAGTCAGCTTCAAAAAATGCTCTCTGAAGAACAGGAACAGCACAAAGATGCACAGGTGAAAGGTGGGGAGGGCATGAATAATTACTGGTGTAATATAGTCCAGTGTAAATAATCCTGAACATCTATTTTTTGGAAGGGTGAAGCATAAATGTATTGGGTGGAATTTGATTAATGAACCCTGTAAGCAGAAGTCCAATGCAAGGGATTCCCTTGTAAAGTAGGGCTCCCCCCCTCCTTCCCATGTGTGCCCCAAAATTAACCAGGGGGGTCAGGACAACCCCCCCGAAGCAATGCAAGGCAAGAGTTGCATTGACACTGCTCTCCCAATTTGCTCCCTACCAGTAGTTCTTCTTCTTCTTCTTCTTCTTCTTCTTCTTCTTCTTCTTCTTCTTCTTCTTCTTCTTCTAGGTGGTCCATGTATCCTTGAGGCTGAATGTATTTGCCTGAACATACTGTATAAATTGTTGAAAGAACAACAGTGTCAGGTTGCATTGAAGCTGTCTGGATGGGATTTCACTTCCCCTAAAGCAGAGTTTCCTAAACTTGGGTCTCCAGCTGTTTTTTGGACTACAACTCCCATCATGCCTAGCTAGCAGGACCAGTTGTCAGGGATGATGGGAATTGTAGTCCAAAAGCAGCTGGAGACCCAAGTTTGGGAAACATTGCCCTAAAGGATCAGGTGCATGGGTTCAGGGTGCTCTTTGAGGTTTGGCCATTTGTGTTACTTCCTCCATGGCATCTGCATTCAGCACTTTTTGTCAGTTCTGTTTACATGCAGAAGAAGCATATGAAGAGGGCTTGTCTATTTCTGGGCACAGGGCAAAGTGCTGCTTTTAGCCTCCTTCTCCAGTCTTCAGATGTTGTTGGGCTGCAATTCCCATCATCCAATGTTGGCTGCAGCTGATGGGAGCTGAAGTCCAACAATATCAAGAAGGCTTTCCTATATGGTTTCAGATCTGGGTATCTGTTCCCAAATGGACCTGCCTCTGTGTGGAGATCATCTTCAGAGACCCTTCTCTGGGTATTTCAGCCATCTGAGTTGATGCTAGTAATTACTGAGGAAAGGGCCTTCTTGGTGGTAGTACCTCAACACTGGAATGCTCTGCTTAGGGCTGCTTCCCTAGCAAATGGATTGACGAATTTTAAGTACCAGGCCAAGAGCAGCTGCTACTTTCAGTCAGAAATAAACCCATGTGAGAGGGGAGATGCCAATCATTGTAGACAGTTCTCTGCTAGATGGGCCAGTGGTCTGAATCAGTATAAGAAAGCATACTACACTGCTTATTTAACTAATTTTCAGTGCTACTGCTGTTTGTGTGTATTTTTTAATGAATTTTCATTTAAAATTGCATTTTTGATGGATATTTATTGTTCTTGGATTGTACTTGCAAGCCACCTTGAAGCTGTTTTAAAATTCTAAGACATAGTAGGGTGAAAAACGTAAAAAAAAAGCAAGCATGAAAGTGATGCAACAACGGCAACAACTACAAACAGAAGACTTTTGGAATAGTGTAGTCATGGTAATTTGAAAATGTTTATTGGTGAAACAGCCCATAGATCCAAGAAACAGAAGACTGGTTCACCCACACTTGTCATTTGGGGAAGTGTGTGGCTCTTGCAGATATATAAATCAGTGTAATGTGGAAAATACCCATCCATGTGTTGGGCATATTTGTGCATTTTCTCCATCCTCCTTTAAAATCCACCATCATCGCTAGGTACTCCAATCATGACACTAGGATCACACAAAATATGGATATAAACAAAACCCTTAACTACAACTTAGATGAGTAGTGTTAAGTGTGTGTATCTCCCCGTGACACCAAATTCAGAGCCAAATCTTAAATTCTCAGACTAGGTGACTGAGTATTATTAGCCAATTAGCTGTGAAGGATCTAGCATCAAATCCTTGATTTCCTATGAAGCTACTGGGTGTCTGTGGAGAAAGGTTAATAGTTCTTACTGTTTCCATCACAGCTCATTTGCCATAAAAATAATGTACAATCCATTTTAATCCACTGTGGGAGGGAAGAACAAAATAAATAAATAAAACAAAAATAATCAAACCAAACCAGGAAAGTGTATGGCTAATTGCTGAAACAGCAGGACAGAAGGGAAGATAATATCTTGTTTTCAAAGCAGTTCTAAATGTACATCTGCTGCCATTCTACATGCATTTCTGTTAAGTAAATATCCTTTCCAAATCATCCATAATAACTCACCAATTCCACACTGGGTCTTTCTGTTTTCCTTTTCCTTCATCAAGTCCTGTCTTTCCACTCTGAGAACTGAACTCTGCTTCTCTCTTGTGGCTGCAAAGATGGAAGGCAAGACAAATGATTTCTTAATCCTCAGTGTCCTGTCTATTCAGATTTTAAACTTACCCTATTGGAATGGGGCAGGACAAACAACAGCCACTTTCATTCAGCAGGAAGATCCTGGTCTTTCCTAAGGGATGAGAAAGAAATTCAGTTTGCTGTGCGTTGAAACGAGGGCCAACCTGATTCACACTTCCTGAAACAATATGAAAACTGAAACACAGCCACCCTTCAAAAATCACAAACTTCTTCACATTTTGTGATGGAGCTCTCAAAAAAAGAAAAAAAGTGCACAAAAAGGCATGTAAAGGTAAATGTACCCCTGACCATTAGGTCCAGTCGCAGACGACTCTGGGGTTGTGTACTCATCTCGCTCTATAGGTTTGTCCGCAGATAGCTTCTGGGTCATGTTGCCAACATGACTAAGCCACTTCTAGTGAACCAGAGCAGTGCACGGAAATGCTGTTTACCTTCCCGCTGGAGCCGTGCCTGTTTATCTACTTGCACTTGACATGCTTTCAAACTGCTAGGTGGGCAGGAGCTGGGACTGAACAACTGGAGCTCACCCCGTCATGGGGATTCGAACCACCAACCTTCTGATTGGCAAGCCCTATGCTCTGTGGTTTAGACCACAGGGCCACCTGCATCCCACAAAAGCACATATTAGGGGTAAATGTGGATTCAAATGCATATATTAGCTAAAATAGCTGGAGAGACTTTAATGTGCATCATAGACTTGTTCTAATTAGTGGTTCCAACCTTAAGCTGCTATTACCGTGGATTCTGGTGTATAAGATGACTTTTTAACCCAGGAAAAGAGGTTAAAAAGTCAGGAGTTGTCTTATACACCTGGTATGGGCAGTGCAGAGTGGAGCCCGCCCACTGCTGTTTCGGAATTAGTATTAGGTGACTGGGCTTATAAGACGAACCCCCAAATACGCCCAGTCGCCTAATACGCCGGAATCTACAGTACATCTTTTCCCAAGAAATGGCAAGTTTATTATTGTGGGTGGTGAAGCACCCATGGCCCGTTGGAGTTGGTTCCAGTGGTAGCATATCCCTAGGGGACCCAGTCAATTTCCCTCTTGCAAATTTATATCAATATGCTGGACATTTTGTATAAAACTTTCAAGGCCAACACTGGTGCACATCCTCACTTTATATTTAAAATTCTGCCGGTACATTTCATTCAAGGCTCTACATTATTTATTAAAAAAAACATGTTCCAGGGTAATCCTTAAATAGCAGATGAAAAAGTATTACTAAAGAAATGTTAAATGGTGTTGACAAGCTAACTTTGTCCAACTGTGTAGCTATAATTATTAAGTTTGCTACTTTGCCATTTGTGGAACGCACCATGGTAAGTCAAGACATGCTGTGAAATTGTTAAACGATTATTCCTGCAGTATGTGTGCACGTGCGCGCGCGCACACACACTCACAAAGGGCCCATTTAAGTTGCCTCCTTTCCTGACTTGGATGTTAAATCTCTGTGTTGGGGAGAAAAAAACAAGTGGAAGCAAAACACCATGCATGATATGAGTGACTTTTCTTTTGCACTGAATTCATAACACAGCTGATATAGATGGCAGAGGCGCCGACTTGGGCCCCAGACTGTGGGTGCCCAGTGGTACATGCAGACACAACATGATGTCATGAAGTCAGGTCACGTCACATTGTGCATGTGCATGCACTGGTCAGCTTTCACTCGCTACTCTCCAGTGCCACAGCGGCAACTGGGCTAGGGCCTTCTCCTCCCACCACAGCCGTAGACGGACCCCAGAAGCATGTCAGTGGCTGCATTGAGCTCCAACAGAGGCCCCACAGTGAAGGCAGAGGCCCTGGCCCAGTCACTGTCATGGCACCAGGGAGTCAGTGGTAAGGCAGTGGGTGGTGATGGGTGGAGGCCAGGCACCCACAGTGGAAATTTTGTGGGTGCCCCTGCCCCTAGGTCCCCTGGAGATGGCGTCAATGATAGATGGTAAAATCCTACTTCATGTAGATGAACAGGACCTACTAACCATGGGGCAAGTCCATCACATAATTATGCAGCAGATACATGTACTTCTAATCCCCAAAGCAGTAGGTTTCTAAACAATCATGATGAATACATACCGAAACCCTAAAAGCAAATCAGATATTTGTTGTGTGGATTAATCGGATAGAAGTCTGCTTCATGTTTTGAAGTAGTTCCAGCATACCAAAATCTGGAGCAGTTCCAACTCATGCTGTTCTTACAGCTCACTCTCTCCACAGGCTGGATCATGAAAGTTTTACAAGTTACTTTATAAATAAAGCTCATCATTGGGAACATGACTCTGCATTTCCCTACATCTATACAGCAGGAGCAGGGGTTGTTTTCAGGCGAGGGGAAGGAATGTGGAAACTTGGTGCACAGGAGCAGTGCTGCCCATTGGCTCATGCTGGCAGCCAATTCCAGTGGCAGTAGCTGGTTGGGGGTGGGGCCTCAGCCTAGCTCAGAGGTTGGCTGGTGGGCTAGCCTGCCAGAACAGCCCACTGAAGGAGCGTCTCTACCCCCATTGTTCAGCCCAGACACTGAGGTCCAGCTTCAAGGGCCTTCTGGCAGTTCCCTCACTACAAGAAGTGAAGTTACAAGGAACCAGGTGGAGGGCCTTCTCAGTAGTGGCGCCCACTCTGTGGAACGCCCTCCCATCAGATGTCAAGGAAATAAACTATACAACATCTGAAGGCAGCCCTGTATAGGGAAGTTTTTAATGTTTGTTTATTATTTTATATTTGTTGGAAGTCGCCCAGAGTGGCTGGGGCAATCCACCAGATGAGCGGGATACAAATAGGATGATGATGATGATTAATATCACAAGGAAGTCCCTACCAAAGCCACAAAATGCACCTTTTCTTCTCTTAGAAATCCAGTGCTTTATCTTTACTGGTTTCATCTATCCAGTGTGTTTATGTACTGAAGTTCTCACCCTGGGCCAGCAGGGGGATACTGTAGATAGTTATGCAAATGAAGGATCGAAAGTGATGTTCAGTGATTGGATAGTTTTAGAAAGTTACTACAGTAACATTGTACTGGAGCTCTATATAAGCAGACTGACTGAACCCTTCAGTCCAGTTCTGTTATGGCCTGTGAATAAACAAGAGCTGTTTGAAGAATCGCTGTGTCGTCTGATACGTTCACCCACAACTTAACACAGAGAAGCACTGCAGTTAAGACTATCAAACCCATCCACTTATTTGATTTTGATTTTCTTCTGAGTGGCCATGCAGATGAACTCGATGGCAAATCCAGCTCAAGACGTTTGGAGACTGAAGCAGGAAGTTCGAATGGCAGCCCCCTCTCCTGCCCTTGTGGGTGAAAACATACACAGAACCGTTGGGAATATGAGATATGAGATACAAATGCAGTGGAAGTGTAGCTCTGAAGTTTGCAGGAGCAGTCACCACATGGAAGCAGAGTTAGGTCCAAAGATTTTACTCCTATAGAAGTAAACAACTCTGAACAAAGTTATATACAGAAAAATAAGTTCCAGCTTGCAGGCTTTTCAGATACAGTGGTACCTTGGTACTCAAACACCTTGGTTCCCAAATGGCAAAAACCTGGAACTAAGTGCTCCAGTTTTCAAACGCTTTTTAGAAGCCAAACGTCCAATATGGCTGTAGGCTATTGTTTCCAGGGCGCCTGCACCAATCAGAAGCTGTGCCTTGGTTTTTGAACATTTCAGAAGTCAAATGGACTTTGTTTCTGTTATTTATTTTGCGTTTTGGGGGCTTTTTCGGTGAATTTGTTTTTGTGACTGTGTGGACAGTTCAGCTATTGACTGTGTGACTGCAGAAATGGATAAAAGCCCCCCATCCAAACAATAACTATCATTAGTGCAGGTAAGGGGGGGATATTTTTATTTTTTATCATCTACAATACTGTCGTGTTTATTTTAGAGTACAGTACATTGATTATTGCTTTCATTTTATGGATCAATGGTCTCATTAGATAGTAGAATTCATGCTAAATTGCTGTTTTAGGGGTTGTTTTTAAAAGTCTGGAACAGATTAATCTATTTTGCATTACTTTCTATGGAAAAGCACAGCTTGGTTTTGGAATGCTTTGGTTTTAGAACGGACTTCCGGAACGGATTAAGTTTGAAAACCAAGGTACCACTGTACAGAAATATACATATACATCTGGATGCAGAGTGTCACTGTTGCTCTAACACCAACTAATCAAAATAGACTGAGCGACTGAACTATAGGTAAAGATAAAGGGACCCCTGACCATTAGGTCCAGTCGTGACCAACTCTGGGGTTATGGTGCTCATCTCACTTTATTGGCCGAGGGAGCTGGCGTACAGCTTCTGGGTCATGTGGCCAGCATGACTAAGCCACTTCTGGTGAACCAGAGCAGCACAACTGAACTAGCTGACATATATTAATTGCAGAGATATAGCTAGGACACCATGCCATTATCGCATGAGCAACAGGTTCATTTCAGCTTACACTTGCTCTTACCTCGCCTGTGGGGTGATTTATGCTGATGAAGGAAATTAACCCCTTCCTATGTCCAGTTACTCCAACAAGAACTACTGACATTTCACCCCTTTTATAGTACCCCAATATATGACATCTCATTCCTTGTAATAGGGTCATCCCTGCTCTCTGGGACTTTGTTCTTCAGAGTTCTAGCCAGCATACACTTTGATCAAATCAATGGCGCATGGCCTTTGATTATTGGTTTCCCTCTTATTAGAAGTGCTTTCTTTCATTGGTCAGCAGAATTATCATAAAACGACTTAGTAGAACCAGTGCACGAAAGAAAGCAAAGGTCATCCAAGTCCATTGTTCCATTGATCAGTTTTATGTCTAATATGCTGAAGGGAGAAAATTAAATTGCACAGTCTACTGCTGACCCAATAAGTTATTCCATTATTTAAACTTCAGCTATTAAATGCTGTTAAGATCACTGCTATGACCGTGCACCATACGCTTGAGTGAAGGAGATGGACAATTGCAAAGTCTTTTGTGGAACAAATCTACTCAGTGATTCTTTGATTAACGGTTACCAAGGC